AAACCTATTATCCACTTCACTAGAGTCAAGCCCTAAATAATAAATGATGATAGTGGAAAGTTTCATACTTTCATTATTTTATTTTATTTTTTTTTTGAGACAGAGCCTCAAGCTGTCCTCCTGGGTAGAGTACTGTGGCATCACAGCTTACAGCAACCTCCAACTCCTGGGCTCAAGCGAGTCTCCTGCCTCTGCCTCCCAAGCAGCTGGGACCACAGGTGCCCGTCACAATGTCTGGCTATTTTTTTTTTTGGTTGCAGCCATCCTTGTTGTTTGGCACGCCAGGCTGGATTCAAACCCACCACCTTAGGTGTATGTGGTTGGCGCCTTAGTCACTTGAGCCACAGCTGCTGAGCCTCTTTCTTTTTTTTTTTAATTAGAGATGGATCTCATGCTTGCTTGAGCTGGTCTCCAACTCCTGAGTTCAAGTGATCCTCCTGCCTCAGCCTCCCACAGTGCTAGGATTACAGGTGTGAGCCATGGCACCTGACTGGTATCACCTTTAGGATAAAAATTGTTCTTATTTGGCAAGCAGGCTGGCAGGCTGACTTCATGTCACTTTATCAATAACATGGCAATCTTGGCCTTAAAGTGAGGAACCCCTAGTGAGTTTGGCCTTGGAATGGCAGGATACACATTAGCTTATTGCCATGTGGCAGTTGAAAGCTTCAATGCTGCTTCAAACCAGACATTGAAAAGTTTAGTTGTTTGTATATAAAACTTGCACTTAACATAGTATTGTTTGTACTGTTACAGTAATAGCCAAATTTATTTGGTTCCTACACCAAATACAAAGTATTATTTTTACTACTAAAAGGAGCCAATTTGAAATTTACCAAGTTATTGAAATAAATGTAGCCGGGAGTGGTGGCTCATGCCTGTAATAATCCCAGCACTGTAGGAGGCTGAGGCAAGAGGATTGCTTGAGCTTCAGGATCAGGAGTGTGAACCTGACTCATGAAAAAAATTGAAAAACCCAGCCAGGCACTGTGGCAAGTGCCTATAATCACTGCGGCTTCAGAGGCTGAGGCAGCAGGATGCCCGTAGCTGGAGTCTGAGGTTGCAGTGAGCTACAACGCCATTGCTCTCTGCTCAGGGCATAGGGTAGAACTCTGTTTTGATAAACAAAATAAATTAAACATGTTATTTGTAAGCCTTATTTTCTTTAATGAATTGAAATACTCTTTAATCAACTTTAAAGTCAACCCGGTAGAAACTTAGATTTTTGTCTGTGCTTTTTATCCTATATACTGGATAGACTGTCACTGGATAGGAGGTAAAGGATCATCTTTCAGGGCAAGGATCTTCTAACTTAAACCATTGGAATTGAAGCATGGTCTGGGCTGACTGCTAGTGACCTGAGTTTTAATATCTTTGAGAGGGAATGCCATTTTATTTCTTAAATTATATTTTCCTCCAACTTCTAGTTGATAGAAAGAGATCTTTGAAGAGTTTTTTTAGGTGGGATCAAATGTAGTATTTATTATTAGGCATTTTTAAATAATCCTTGAATAGAATGACTTACCTAAGATGTTGCTTCTGCTAAATGGCTAAACAAGAATTAAAATCAGCCCTCCTAAGAATTGTTTAATTTGTATGTATGTAGATACATTGAGAGTTAATTCATTTATGTATACTATGTGTGTTTTAGATTAGAAAATATTTTATTATGTATGTCTTTTTAGATTTAATCTGTACTTTAGAGAAGAAAGACTCAGTAGTGGTTAGACAAGGTGGCTGATGCTTGTAATCCTAGCACTCTGGGAGGCTGAGGCAAGAGGATCACTTGAGCTCAGGAGTTTAAGACCAGCCTGAGCAAGAGGAGACCCCATCTCTATTAAGAACAGAAAAAATTGGGTGGCACTCGTGGCTCAGTTGGTAGGGTGCCATCCCCATATACTGAGGGTGGTGGGGTCAAACCCGGCCCGGCCAAACTGTAACAACAATAAAAAAAAATAGCTGAGCTGTTGTGGCAGGTACCTGTAATCACACCTCCTGAGACTGAGGCAGGAGCATCCTTTGAACCCAGGAATTTAAGGTTGCTGTGAGCTAGGCTGATGCCATGGCACTCTCTAGCCTGGGCAACACAGTGAGACTATCTTTTAAAAAAAAAAAAAGACCTAATAGTATCTGTAAGTTCCTAAATGACTAAATATTGTTAAATGCAATTGCAAGATTTATTTAAAACTAAGCATCATTAGTGGATGTTTTATTTTTTGAGAGAGAATCTCACTCTTCTACCGTGAGCAGAGTGCCGAGCATAGTTTACAGAAACCTCAAGCTCTTGGGCTCAAGCGATTATCTTGCCTCAGTTTTTCTATTTTTGGTAGAGATGGGGTCTCTTTTGCTCAGGCTGGTCTTGAACTTGCTGAGCTCAAGCAATCCACCTGCCTTGGCCTCCCACAGTGATAAGATTATAGGTGTGGGCTACCTATTTATTTCTGGCCTATTTAGTAGACTTCTAAACTTTAGTTTAAAAATTCATGAGTTCAGGCTGGGCACCTGTAGTGCTCAGTGGTTAGGGCACTGGCCACATGCTCCAGGGCTGATGGGTTTGATTCTGGCCCGGGCCTGCTAAACAAATACAAAATAGCTGGGCGTGTGGGCCACCTATAGTCCCAGCTACTTGGGAGGCTGAGGCAAGAGAATTGCTTGAGTCCAAGAGTTTGAGGTTGCTGTGAGCTATGACGCCATGGCACTCTACCGAGGGTGACAAAATAAGATTCTGTTTCAATTAAAAAAAAAAATTCATGAGTTTAAATTAATTTCCCGTTAGATTTGGGGGGGGGGTGAGATGTGTGATATTTATTAGTCTTACGGCCCCCCACTTGTTAAGCCATGTATTAATTTTCATTTCTTGTATTGAAATAATATGTTTTTGTATCTTAAATTATTAACTAATATTAATCTAGATTTATTAAATAAATCCTTACACTTTTACAACACTAAATGGATACATTGCATTGTCAGGTACAGGCAGGAGTTGAATCAAAAGTGTGAGCTGGATTTTAGGATTATACTTCCCATTAGTTGAGTAATGGGAGGACTAAGTTCTGCCAACTCAAATTTTGTTTCTGAGAAAGGGAACCAAATTATTAGCTTATGCATTTCGGTCTTAAATGGAATATTGCACAAGTTTTTTGTAAAAAATTAAACTATAACTGTTCTTATATTAGTTCCTTCATTGAGAAAATTTGCATCTTAATTCAGGAAGGCAAAAGTATTTTATAAAGTCTTGTGAGTTTATTTAAGTTGCAGGAAGACTTTCCTTGTGCCTCTTTTGGCACAAGGTGTATAGGAGCCAGGTATACTGGGAAGGCGGTGTTAACAATGTACATGTGAAGCCAGGACGGAGTCTGTGGGCAGGCTGCTTCTGGGCCTGTTTTCCCATT